ATTGTGGGATCAAGGGAAGAAAACTGTTGTTGGAATTTGATGGGAAGGGTAATATTCGGAAAACAAAGACCTACGATTTGGATCGGAAACTTTTTTAAATTTATCCAACGAGGTAAACTTTTGGCTCAATCCTGTAAACACAATTTCAATACCTCGGCTAAAATGAAATATGCAATATTAATATTACTTACAACCATTTTCTTTGCTTGTGAGGGGCAACATTCTAATAAGAATGACCTATCCGGCAGAATCGATCGGTATCCCCATGAAATTGACTCTTTAAATGTTCAAAATCTTTATGATAAAACAATATGGACATTGTATTGCATATATTGTGATGATTCATTAAAATTTTGGGATAATGGTGGATTCAAGAATACCAAAATTACCTACGGTAAAATGGATCTAAAATTTGATACATTGTTAGTCAACAAGGATACCATTGAAATCAATTTTTTATTCTTCAAACCGGGCGATCTGCCAAATGATATTTATAGAAATATGCCAACACCTGAAGTTTGGGGAGCCGTGTATAAAAAAGGTAGCACCAATGTGATTTCTTATACATCACAAACAATTTTTCGATACTTCAAAGCGGAATGTATCGATACAGCCATATGTAGAAGCAGATACTTAAACCCCATTCAACCAGAGGTAGTCAAATATATCAACGAGAATAAGGCAGAACTAAATCCTTGGTTCCGGGAAGAAGCAATACGTAGGGGAATTCTAAAATAGTACGCAACTAAATTCATTTTAAATTTTGACAAGAAAGTCCTGCCATTTTACCGGCAGGGCCTTTTGTTTTTTAGGATATGAGGCGCAAAACTTTGGTGCAATTATCTCCTCTCAATATGACATGTAGTATCCATCGTCCTTTTTTTTTGCGGTCAGCGCTGTCATACATCTGCTGCCATGCCTTGTTAATCTGTTCGTTTTTTGATGTCTCTATCCTAGCAATACCCTGCTTTTTGTTCCAGTCAACAGCCCACAGGTAAGTGGGATGGATGGCAACCATTATGAGAAGATACAACAGCCAGCAGCCAAACACGATCTCGAAGAAAAGCTATCTTCCCTGTTCAGGGAATATCTGCACGTCATCTCTGTTCGGTTTTTTAGGAGTCGAGACGGCCAGATCAATACCGGTTATTTTTGCTTCCAACCGTTTGAAATCTTCATTTTCAATATTACTGTGTTCCACTTTGTTCTGGTTATAAAGTGGAATCAGTCAGCCAGTCATTAGCTAGAGCTATGAAGGCAAATCCAATATCGTATTTTGCCGCCCTTCCTTATTTTTGCGAGGTCCATGTCCGCCGCCGTTAAGAATAAGAAAGCTATTCTCACTAAGTTTACCGCATTCACCAAGATGATGGCGGCTGGGCCGTTGCCAGATGATGCAATCATCGCAGACCTGGCGGATGTCCATACGCCAACGGCCCGGTTAAATCATAAACGCGTTGTAATTGAGGAAGCG